GAAAAAAATGGGTGGCTCAAATTCGAAAGCCGCGCCACCAGTGCTCAGTTTCTCAGCACGCTGGATTATTTTACACACTTTGGAAAGCATCGTCTGCCCGGACTACGCCGTCTAAACCTCAGTTTGTACCATTTGCGGTCTGATCTGCTTCTTACGGCGAATAATGATGCGGAAATGGACGAAGCGAAAGTCTGCTTTTTTGGACGCTGGTGTCGCAGGTGTTTTCGTGCAGTGATTCAACGCCTCCGGAACACCAGGGAGCTTGCTTTGATAGATGGTAATACATGGATCCATGGAAAATCCTGTTGTAATGCAAAAGCGCACTTTTCTTTCAATAATCTTCGGATATTACGAACAGCCCTCACATTCCTCTCTCCTTAAAACATGTATGAGGGAATCCAATTTCCGATTTTGAAGCTTGTGTTTCTGATTGACTGCAGCATGTCCCCCTACGAGGCAATGACTGATCATTACGAATCGTATTTTCCGGGCGTTACTTTACACTTTGGATGTCTGATGTGTTATAGGGGCGACGATCTGAATGATTGTGCAGCCCATTATTTGTAAAACATTGATGACCTGAGCCTGGCAATTGATGCTCCTTTCCATAAACCAGCCCCGTCTGGTGTGGCTTTTATGGGCTCCAACGAATTCTGCCTCCGTGGTGACCGAGTTGTTCCGCTCTCCTTTGAGGAAGTTGACCTGCTATTTATCCTTGAACCTATCATCGAAAGTCGCTGTGTTTCCCTTGAGAGGAGTGGCATTGAAGAGATCATACTGAAGGCTGATGTGGGTATTTCCTGCCTTCGATGCGGTCTACTTTCGACGGATGACCTTGATGGAAGGACTTTGACACAAGAATTTGGAATGGTAGCCAGGCTGAAGTTCCTGCCTCTTTTGACTGCCCTAAAGGGTACTCTCGCTTTGCTGGAAATCTCGGCGGATTTGCTTACTGGTTGCATTAAAACTCGCGAAGCGATGAGGCAGATAAGTAGCCTTCATGGTCAGCTGGTCAATGTGAGTGAGTTTGTTGTCAACTTTGGACAAGACCTAGACGATGCGCCCTTCTACCGACCCACACTTCGGACTGCTGATCTTCGACCGTTTCTGGAGATGTTTCCATCCGTTAAGTGTCTTGAAATAAGCGTTGACATCTGGGATTTAAAGGTGAATTTGGCCAAATTACGCCGCGCATGTCCATGTCTGAAAACGCTTCTTTGCTCTGCATCGAACTCTGAAGAGGATTGGATGGTTGGGATGGTTTCGCCCTGGAGGCTGGAATCATTCTATTGGGAATTTGCTATTGAATTTACTGTTGAGGATTTGTATGCACTTTCTGGATGTGTGCAGGCTTCTTATATCCTCCTACGTCTCCGCAATAGTCGGCCCACATTTGAGGAAAAGCACATGAAGGCTGTTTTTGCAAGAATGCCCTGTCTACGCTGGCTTGTTCTGATTTATCTGGAACGAAGCTTGATCTGTAGTCAGTCTCCGGACAGCCAAACAGTTGAAATCGTGTCAACGAATACCGCGTCATGGGAGAATCTTTGCCGAATGTTTCCCCAACTATTTGGGAAACTCTGGCGTCGGCACATACCAAAAACTCATCATCCTTGTCAACCCGACCCTGATTTTAGTCAACCTAGCCCGTAGATGACAGAGTATTTCGCCCAAGTATGCGCCATTTTTGAAAGATGCTACGCTTGCTGGTTTAATAAATCTATTTTTCTTTATCGTCGGTTGTAACCACAAGCTTATCTATTTTCTACTTTCTTCCAAGTGCGGGATACGAACAGCTATTCAGCTGCTATTTCTTGCAGTGAGAATGTGATGACGTCGACATTAGTCGAGCTCGTGGGGGCTTAGGTTGAGATAATGCGTTTATCAGTGCTTCCGGATCCGAACGTGCAGCTTCCCAAATTTCGTTTCTTTTTTTGCAATGACTACTGCAGTTCATAAATGTCGCAGAACCGTGAGTGCTCCTAGCCGGCATTTTCTCTCGCCATTTCAGCCTTTATTTTGCGGACCCATCAACCAGGTAGTGGATGGTGTGAGGACGACAAACTAGGAGACTTAGATACCTATATCAGCACAGACCATACTTCCTCAGAGAGAGCGCAGTTCAGCCCACAAGAGAGGGAATAGTTAGCTCTGGGGATGGGTAGAGTGAGTGCCAGATGCGGCGCTAGTCAATTTCACTCCAAAGCATTTTCTCTGTTTGGTCCACTTCGTGTGGGCACCTTGGACGTCACCGGATACGACGATTGAAGTGTCTTGCTGGAGTGTATCGGGTTTCCAGTTTGGAAGGAAACCTAAAAGGAGCGATGAGTGGTTGCTTCGCGCAGTCTTTAACAGGCACCCAGTTCACCGCTGTAGCTGTTTTGTGCTCAGCAGTCACATTCTGGCAAGCATACATCGACGGGTGCTTCGGCCGCGCCAATACGGAGGAACGTTTCTGCAGTGTACATGTCCTCACTTCTAGTATTCCTATAACTAATTCGCAAATTGAAATTGGTGGCTCAACCCGCAGTTCAATAGAGCCCTTGTCTTATTTGGGAGAAACACTTATTATTTCCTTGCAATAAATGCGGTACTACAAGTTGACAGTTGCCTGTGCACGGAAGATATACTATGGAAATTGCGTATAGCATTAGTAAAAAATTTCGGCCCATTCAGTTAGGTGGTTAAGTCCTTCTTGCAGGATCTGTCCATGCTTCCTGTATTTGATTGGTCGCCATTCTTTGATGTCATCTGCAAAGGCTTGACTGGACGCAGTCAACACTAGTGCTGGCTTCGCCAATGGCCACTGCTGACTAAGACAACAACTCGCTGCACAGTGAATTCCTCCCACAGATGCCTTCTGTATTATAGCAGACGGGGTGGCAGCCACGCCACCTTCCCGCACCAAATCAGCTGGTGTCCGGTTCCTAGATATGGGAATAGAGACTTTGGTTGACGGTTCAGTGCAGTTTTTCTGACTATAAAGAATCTGAATTGGAAAATCGGCATCCCAAGAAGTATAATTATGTAGCGAAAGCATTTTGGGAAAGATGATTTATTCGGTGAATTTTCGAAGCTGGAGCCCCGCTTCGTCTTCAGACGTAAAGAAAAGTGAATGGGCCAAAAAGAGGGCTAACAACTAACATCGAAAGTCCGTGGGAAAATCAGTAACGCCGTGGCGTGGCGCTTGTGCCAGTACCTTGTTGCGGTGTTTTTAATTCCCTTTGGATTGGCTCGCGTCTCGCCCACTTCTGCTTGAGGCTTCGGTA